TATCAAAATAATTGAATAGAAATTTTAAAATAAATATTACTGGATAACTTATTCTATAACTTATACCTTATTATTATATGTTGACTATATCGATTGTGTTTTGTTATTGAATACAATAGTTTATTTGGTTTATTGTATATTTATATATATTTCAATTTTTATACATATTATGTTTTAGAATACATATAGATGTAGAAGTTGATTGGTAGTGACTATAATTGTTTTGGACAGCTATTTTGTTTTCTAAAGCATTTTTCTAAAGCAATTATGCTTTAATCTTAAAAAATAAAGCTACAACAAAAAAATACAAAAAGAAATATGCTAGTTTTTTCAAGTAATTTTTCTACAGTTTTTATTAAATGCTTTGAAAATAAATCTATAGCCAAAAAATAAAGCCAAAGTAAAAAACTCACAGTCAATTTTGTAAAGCAAAAAAATTAAAGTTATTGCACCAACCCATCAACCTCGTAGATGATGAAGACATTTGTTATTGAATTCTTATTTATTTAAAGTAAATTCATATTTGAAAATATTAGTAACTATTACAATAAGTATTACAATAATTTAGCCAGTAATATTTATTTCAAAAATTCTATTCAATTATTTTGATAAGATGGTTAGTTTGACTATATTGATTGTGTTTTGTTATTGAATACAATAGTTTATTTTGTTTATTGTATACTTATATATATATACTAATTTTTGTGCATATTATGATTTAGGATACATATAGATGATGAAGACATTTGTTACTGAATTCTTGTTTATTTAAAGTAAATTCTTATTTGAAAATATTAGGGATATAGGACGGTGTTATTGAAACTGGAAAGGGGGTTGAGACTAAGGAAGGGGAGAGCATTTCACCAGATGGCATGAAGACCATAAAATGGGACTCGTATTAGCCTAATTAAATCATCTTTGCTGATCTGTCAAAAGTTCTGGAGAATTTTTAATTTTTTTTTTTTTTTTGCTTGTGTTCATTATTGCATTGTGGTCTGAGAAAACGATTTGATATCGTGTTAGAAAACTTCTTTTGTGTTCCATACTTTCTTTTGCATTGTGATCATAAGTTACATGCATAAACCCAATCTCCTTCAGTTGAAATTGCATTTTTCTTCGAAATACATGCAAACCATTGTAAACTCAGAACTTATCATACACTTTGTTATCTGTACAAATATGTCAAATAGTAAGAAAGTCAGATATCAGTTAGATTTTCAAATTGCATATCATCCATTTATGAGGTTTAACTCCGGGAACTGTTGGCGTTGAGGCTTTGGGAAAGATACGGAAGAGGTGTGCTGGTGAGATTTGCTTCCTTTTTTTGCGATATGCCTTGGATCTATGCAGCAACTCTTCTCTGAGCGTTCATTTCCGGCTTCAAACCAAACTTCTGCAGCTCCTCTAACACGTTAAGAAAGTCCCCCGGGTGGCTATGTGACAGAATAGATGTTTTAACTCGTCATCAATACTACTGATATTTCTTCTAAGTAGATATTAAGATAGGCTACATGGGATATGACTATTTATAATCAGTAATAGTTTACATTTATAATATAATATACAAAAGGATGAATATTACTTACTTTCTACAATTTTTTTTTCAGTTTAACTCAGTAATATGGTGATATTTATTTGGCATATTTTATTGGTAATGTTAAATCTTTTATTAATTTAGCTTAAGATACTTTCAAATGAAACCTTTTTATATGAGAGATTATTTTTATTAATTTTTATTTAACATTAATGAGTTAGAACTTTAAGTGTTTTAAGATTTATTACTTTAAACTCTCTTTTTTAAAGAAGTTATTTTTATTCTAAAAACTATTTTTTGAAAAATAATAACAGAGAAAAATAAATAAATGAGAACATTGTGATGTTCTTTCCAAAACTCTCAGTTTTGTTGGTGTCTTAATACGATGCAAAAACCTACATAGTTCCCATTATAGGAAAATAAAAAAAAGCTGAGATGATCAAGTTTATGCGACTTTTCCAAAGTATAAAGAATTTTCTAAGACATTCAATTGATGTTAGTTGTTTTGGATTCTGAGTCGTTAAATGGACACAAAAATACACTTTTTTCTTTACAAACTGAGAGTATCTGTAAACATACATTTATCTTACGTACATGACAAAACGGAAAATACTAATTTCTGAAACCGGTTCATGATCATAAAAAAATTACAAATGAAAAATTAGACACAAACCAAATAACCAATTGTTTAAGCAAATCACTTTCCAAAACTTCATATATCATACAAACCACACCCTGACTATGTTACTAAATACAAATAGTTTTAGGCCAGAGAAGCTGGGAACCTTTTGTGGAGGTCAAACGAACGGCTCGACAGATGCTTTCTGGAGTACCCCATCATCAGAACTGCAATGTTCCAAGCACCGATAGCATCAGTAGCACTCATTGTCCTTCTATGTTCCTTGAATCTGATTTACTTGTATACCATCTGTGGAAAGTTGTTTCCTTTCAGAGTCAGATGGTCCAGTTATCTTGATCATCTTCATCCAAACGAACCCATGTCGGAGTTCCTTGGCCAGATTCTTGGTGAGAGTATGGGAGAAGAGAAACGATACCGAGTAAGCAATAAACGTTACACAGTAAGAGAGTATGGGAGAAGAGAAGGACAGAAAGAATGAAACCTGCCATCTGGTGGTTCCAAGAGGGGCGTCAAGGTCCCTGTGGAGCTGATATTACCGATCCAACCGTGTCATCATCTCTTGAGATTTGAAAAAACTGGAAACGGAAGCGAGAGAAAGGAATCACCGATTAAAAAATCCAGTCTTCTTTCCCTGCCTCCAACTCTTTGTCAGCAATAATCAGTGGCTTTTTAAGTACTTTTAATTGCAATCATCAAAAGAATCAACTCTCAAACTTAACTATTCATCTGTAAATGAAAAAAAAAAGACAAACATATAGCAAGACTTACCGAATGGAAACAGCTAGGGGAATCAGAGATGGAGGAACTCGATACACCGATACAAATGATGAACCACAATCATTACATCATATCAGTTCTCAAGCTCTTAAAAGCTTCAAATACCATGTCATTCTATATACTTTTCAGGATGGACCTGCATCGCCTAACAAAGCTTACAAACTCAATAACCGTTTTTCTTGCTTGTGAGTATCGAGAAATTAATAAAGGAACAGAGATATTCACTTCAATGAAAAATATTTAATGGTAGAAAAAAACTGCAACAGTCTGAATCTTTAGGTTGCGAAACAAACAAAGGAAGAGTTTTTACCTTATAGCAAAAGTCATTTTTTGATTTCTCCATGTCTTCTTTCTATCTTCCTCATGCTTTCTTTTTATGGTCATTCACACCATCATAGTGCTTCTTCTGGGCCTGCTAAAAAAAGGAAGCAATTTTGTAAGTTAAATGTATATATACCAAACAAAAACCTTAGCAGTAGGAGAAGGTATAGAGGAAGGTCAAATGATGAATCGAGGAGTAGACAATAACTTTCCTCACATAAGCTAAATGGTTGGATAAGTTGTATAAGAGATCTCTACGAAATTATTAAGGATAGTAAGCAAAGAGATATGAAGATGTTTCCACAGTAGAAGAGCATACCTTTTTATACTCGCAGAGACACCGACTCTCTAAAGATCACAATACATTGATGTTGAGATTGTGGGTAAAGGAGTTAATAACTTGCTAAATGCGATGGATCCGTAATTGGTGTAGTTTTGACTGAACGGAAAGGAAGTCGTAGGGCACGAAGGGATCCCAAGCGAACTGAACCGTCATGCCGAGCTAACCAACTATGTCTCCATGATGGCCGAGAGCGAAGCATGTCATGAACCCTAATCCCCCGATAGACGACGGCATATGAGATGTTGATTTCTATATATGGGGCTGCATAGTTGAATATAGCATTAGGCCCATACTTGTGACGGAGGCCCTATCGGTTGAGGACAAAATTTAATTAAACGGTGAGTTTCGAATGAGGGACATGTGTCAAGCTGAGGTGAAGTGAATTGATGACGTGGCGGAGTTAGAGGGAGGCAAACTTTCCTTTATATATATAGATTT